ACACACACACACACACGCACTACTTTAAAAACCCCACGTTACGGACATTTTGTGTCCTAACGAAAGGCTGTACTTCTACGCGGCACATAAAATCAGCTGTGTTACTTATTACTTTGCTAATATTTAAATAATAAAGCGAGCAGCTCGGCTCCTGTGCGAGGAAAAAAGACGCAGGAAGGAAATGTATCACTCCACTTACCCTGAAATATTGCTGATTTAAAACCCGAAAATAGGGCTGTCTGGCAACGGCTCCCGGGGTGACTCGTCTTAATCAAGAACCGTTAATTAATTACGCTGAAACGACGTCTCTATTTACACGAATCCGCGGCATTTTATTCCATTTAATGTTGAAGTAACTATACTGTCCACCCAGGCGATACACCGTACCCAGTGTACGAACAACGTCATTGACATTAGCCCGTGATTGACCCGCCGGGTGGCCAATCAGAAGCCGACGTGCGAGCCTCTCGTCCAATCAGAGCGCGGTGTCGCCGAGGTGGGCGGGTCTGCGAGAGAGGACATGACGGAGGTGACGGCCATGTTCTGCAATAGTGTTTGTATCCCTCCGCTTCAGTATTTACCTTTTGCATGATTTTGCATGTGGGGGAAAATGTCACTGTAGCCCCACTGTGCCCTGCCTGCTTTCCATACGAGAAACCCGCTAGGCCGTTTTGTTTTCCACGTCTGTAATCAACCACAGTGCCTGATAGCGGCGAATAACCGTCTGTAAAGGCCTGTTAGTAGCTGTCAAAAGAGAAATGTTGAGTGTTGTGAGGCGTTTATCGTCTACAAACAGGAGCTTTTTTTTTTTATTATCATGCCATCAGACGTTATGGTATTTGTGACATAAAGTAGGCTGCTGAGGTGTCCACTGATTTTTATTTTACTTATTTCAATATGACAATTTATGTGGGGACAAAAAAAAATGTGTATGTGAAAATAAATTGCAATATCATACATGATACTATATATTATATTGCAACACACTGTGCAATAGCATGGGCTTAATATCCTTTTATTGTCATATGTAAGTCTACTCTGACTGTATATACTGTACTCTTATTATGTGCACCTGAAACCACCTCTGTATGCAGACTAATTTATAATCTACTCCAGGGCCGGATTAACACACTAGAAAGAGGGGCCCTGTGTATTCCAACCCCCCACCCCGAAATCCTCTTCTCAACTTACTTTTCAATATTTTGATTACACACCTACCGTCATGTCAGTATAAAATCAGCTGATATATTAAAGGTCCAGTGTGTAACATTTAGGAAAATCTGATGGCATAAATGGAGTATAGCCTAATATGTAAACTTTGTTTTCCTTAGTGTTTAATCACCTGAAAATAGGAATCATTATGTTTTTGTTACCTTAAAATGAGCCTTTTTATATCTACGGACATGTGGGTCGCCTTCCATGGAGGCCACCACGTTGAACTGCCATGTTTTATAGCCCAGAACAGACAAACCAAACACTCACTCTAGATAGCATTTTTTCACTCTGGTCCTTTAAAGGTAATTCAAATTTAATTTTAACACAGGGCCTCTTAACAAGACAAGGTCAAGGTTGAAGGTCATGCAAAACTACAGCCTCAACCCCAGGGCTTTACTATTTCAGGCTATTTGTGCTCTAGTGGTGCATGATCCCAAACAACATTTCAGTTGATTAAATTTCCACAAAGAAATTGCCAAACTGTGGCCTTCAGGGATCTCAGGGCAGCTACACTACCTGTACCACAACCCTAAATACAGTAGCTTAAACAGCACGACGATCTCACTTGTACACAGGTAGTTTGCTGTCCTGCTCTTGCTCGTATATATTAACTACAGGTTTCAGTTCAATTTGTTTACCTGTATTTCTGTATTTGTATAAATATTTACACAACAGGAAATTTCTTGTATATAATCAGCCAGTAAAGCTGATTCTGATTTTCAGGGTGCAGGTTTCTTGCACTGTGTTATTTAGAAAGCTGCATTTACACGGGTTGTTTGGATCATAATGAACAAGTAGTTTGAGACACAGTACTGAAAATTGTCTGTGTTGTCCATGTCAGCCGAAAACATCTCGTTATCATGCCCAATTTCATTCAAATGGGTTCTGCAGGCAGCGAGCACTTGTAGCTTGTTAGCTTTCTGGCAGCGTAATCCATCCCATTCTTTTCAATGAGAAACACTGACAGGCACTTTGAAGGAGTTTTTCGCAGTGTCTGGTGAAGAAGAACTAGGACTACAGTTGTCAAGTTATCAATGTTTTTTCCCTGAGCTTTAAAAAACAAAAAACACTGACACAGTGTGATGTATTTCCTAAGAAACTTCACAATTTAACAGAGATGTCAGTGCCCCGAGAACATTATTATTCCACAACAGGAGTACTGGTTTCTCTTCAAGAAAGCAAATAAGTATATTTCCTTAGGTACATAAACAGTGCTGAGGGTGGGTGAGGCAGGGTCAGTAGATTTTAAAAATATGCTAACCCAGTCATGGCAGCTGTCTCTCAACTAGGCTACCGGTGTGAAACCAGTAGGCACAGTTCATAACTGAGATCACTCTGATGTGCACTGACTCTCCAGGGAGTTAAGAGACTGCTTTTAAAAACATTGCATTTCTATTAACGTGCTGCACACATTATTCTTCTTTCCTCTGGGTTTCTAGGCAGACGTGTGTCCTAGTTTAAAAACAAATGCTGTATCAGACCCAGTGTTGCGGACTACTGGGAATACAGAGGCTGACAGAGATAAAACACATGATATCTTGGAAAAATGCCTCATAAGGGACATCTTGGATTAGAAACAGAGTATCAAAGGCTGGCTTGATTTGTCGAATTCAAACCCACAAGCTACAAATAGTCATAACGATGAGTCATAGATCTCACAACACCCAGCTCGGGTATGGACATCGCTATTGACCAGGAGAACAGTGAAGTAGAATAGTTAAACAGCAGAGAATAAGAAGAACCAGGGAAAGAAACCATGTTAAAAAGGACCTAAATGCCCCCAAGAAAAAGCAGTTATGGACTGCACGAATCCTGTGATGACCTGGAAGTTTTGAGAAGTTCATAGAAGTCCTTTGAATGAAGTCCGGCGGTAAGTAGAAGCTCAAAGTTTGTAGCATAATAGTGTCCAGAGGCAGACATGAGAATTGAAATGCAGGGTGCAGAGGGCAGAGATCAGGCAGCAAAGGGAAGTTCAGCTGAAGAAACTCCACAAAGAATGTGCCTCAGGCTCCTCAGAAGAACAGAGTGGGCATCTGTTAATCGTCCTACGCCAGCTGAGGAAAGGTTTACAGTATACTTGAACTATTTAGTGTAATGGCTGTGTATCAGTTGGTAGAGCAGGTTAATTGCAAGGTTGGTGGTTTGACCCTCGAGCTGTGTGAAGTGTCCTTGAGCTGAACGTCAAATCCCACATTATGATCAATATACAGTAGGTGCACTTGGGATGAGAGCGTCTGTCAGATGAATTCCATGTTATTATACAGGGCCCATTAACGGCAGCTATATGCACTATTTTTCAAGCCAGTTGAGATAACAGAATGGGAAAAAAATAGACATAATTCGGGAAAAATATCATAGTTGCCCAGGATGAAAACAATCATCCTCTAGAGCTGAAATCCCATTTTATATTTGTAACTATTCTCTATTTCTTTTCATCATTCAGAAACCACAAAACACACAAAAAAAATGTTCAGGATGGCTAATTTTCACTCCTGCCACCCCCACTCAGACAGAAGCAAAAAATTTGATTATTTTTAAGATAAGTAACACAGGTATGGTATTTAGCGTAAACATCATAACTAATCTTGACATTTATAGATTAACAATATATTGTTAAACTATGCTGTACAGTTTAAAATGTTTAACTTAGGTATGTCTTCTGTTGTGTCCATAGTCCATTAGCTAGTGAGCTCGGAAGCCTGTTCACCGAGGTGACACGACTAAATGAAACACGTCACACACGACAACAACCCCCAGTGACAATGTTAGGGTTACCTATAGATGGTGATATTTCCCCTGTAATGGAGATTGTCGCTCGGCTTTTCCGGTCCAGTCAGAGAGATTGAGGGAAAATTACACAAAATTGATTATATCTCAACCCCAAATCAACTTAGAAGTAGTGATATAGATACAATCCTCTGACATTATATATCATTTGATATAATGCAATATTAATATAATCAAAATATGTTTTGTTATTGTACATTTTATGAAAAAACAATTGAGAAACTGTTTATAGATACAGATTTTTATATATATTTATATATAATATAATTTAAGCATATATCAGTCAAAAAGGGTCTAATATAATAAAATATATAAAAGAGGGGGCTACAAGAGAACAGCAAAATCGCTGATGGTTGACAAATGTATAGTCTCTCAGTATACCCAACTCTAAATCTCTTGCTATAATTCCACCAGTTTCCAGCAAATATTCCAGCATACGGTGGTCAGAGTTATGCAATCACTATCCATGATTAAACTCAAGTCATCCTGTTCACATGTGCAACCTGAACAGAAGGCAGCACAACAAACCTGAGGGGTCATCATATCCCATCTGCATGCCTGGAAATGTGCTTTACAGTCACCGTGGTAATGACAAAAACAAGCCAAAGTGCTCTCCATGCAAGTCTACCCCTCTCTGCTGCCCACACGCACTCCACGCCGCCTCCCACAAGCACTGCACTCTGCCATCACGTTACTCTTTTATAATCTCATTTCATTGTGGAGACCAGAGCTACTTGTCACTCTTATTACTTATGATGGGTTTTCTAGCAATGATTCAAATTCTGTAATGATAAATAGGTGAGATTCTGTATTGCTAATATAAAATCTCTATCTCTCTGTATATATCTATATCATCTTATCCAACCAAATCCAACCTGCTGATGGTGGGAGAAAGGGTCATATGGAGGCATCAATATTAAATTCATAATTCATGTATTCTTAATTTAACTTATTTTTTAAATTGTTTTAACTTATGTACTGTTTTCTGTTAGCATATTTACATATTTGTTTATATGCGTTTTGTGTTTTTATTGTTGCACCGCTCTGCAACCAATTAAATGACTGATGTAAATATAAAGCTCCACTACTAGCTTTGAATTAAAGCCACTGACCTTGCATGGCAGATACATCTGAGTGATAATTTAGCAAACTCCAGCTGCTAATGAAGACTATGTGATATGGTTGAAAGCTCTGGAAAAAACTAGCTGTAGTTGTGTCAGATTCTAAGTTCTAGTTGGACTAATTGTGCTTCAGTCAGTCTAACTGGGACAAAATTATTTTACAGCCATACGAGTGGCAAAGCTAAAGATGGTCTTTCAGTCAGCCCACTGCTTCTACACACATTCATGGTCCCCAGATGATGAATCTTACTGACTTTGGTGGATTAGCAGAAAATGTTATA